AAAACTAAATATCTATATTACAAATATTTTATAATGAAATACAACTATATTACAAATCCGCTCGCGGGAAAAATGAAAGATATATAGATATAAATCAAATATTCTGTTTGCAATGATTCCCATCATAACAATTCAATGTTGTATGGTGTGATATTTTTTGCATATTCAATATTGTCATTGAGGCCCGGTAGCGCCATTACGGTTAATTTTTGTAGTTTTAATAACGAAGAAACAATTCAATAATGATTTTAATACATATCTATAATATTTATATTTTAAGGTTTTTATAAAATATCAATATTAGTTATTTCGAAACACTTTATTTATTTGAATAAATTTCAGAATTTCTTTATATTTTAATAATATACTATCATTCTATAAAATATGCATTTTATGTAAAAAATCTGTATTAATTGTATAAAAAATCTATATTAATTGTATATTAATATATTTGTATTGTATTTTTCAATCGAAAATTAATATATCTTTATTATGAGGTTGAGACATCGCCATTGTGTATTACAAATACATTAAAAAATCAAATAAACATATAAAATATACATTTCCCAATGTTTTTGAATTATTTTTAAGCTCTTTATCTTCGTTATTTAAATATCACTCAATATCTATATTTATATCAATATATATATATACATATATTTTATTCATAAAATATGTATATATATTTTAAATAAACATTTTTCATTTCAATAATACCTAATAACTTTATCATACCTTTCATCACTAACACTTTCATATAATTATTTTAAAATAGATAGATAAATAATTAATCATTTCATTATTTATATATCAAAAATTACATGTATTAGAGGTATATTATAATAGAATATAATTACATTACAATTACACAAAATATATATAACAGGTGTATTTTAATAAATACAACTATATGATAGGTAGAATACAAATATGTTATATGAATATTTCAATCGTCATACAATTATATTACAAATATAATACAACTCTATTACATATATATTACATTATAAGAAAAATTCATATTACAATCAGAATACATGTATATTACAATAAAAAACAATTATTTTATACGTATAATACAGGTATATTACAATAACATACAATTATTTGATATACATATACCTATATTACAAATATTTTTAAACAAAATACATCTGTAAACCAATTATAATACAATTTTTCAAGCATATTACAATATAATACAACCAGATATAATACAGATATATAATAGACATATTACAATAAGATATAGTTATATTAATATAAAACATTCACAATAAAATACAACTATAGAATAGGTATATTACATACATTTTTCAAATATATTTCAATAAAATATAGTTATATTACAGATATAACACATGTATATTATATGTATGTTGCAATAAACTACAATTATATTATAAATATAATATACATATTATATTATTTAACCAAACTAAATATATTATAGATATATTTCAATAACATATAACTATATTAAAAATCATATTATCGTAAAATACAAACTAAAATATAGGCATAATACATATATATAACAAAATATTACAACCATATTACAAACACTAATTTAAAAAATATTACAACTATTTCATAACAATATACAAATATATTTAAATATAAAACAAACATATTAAACATATTTTACAATAAAATTCAATTATATCACAAACATAATGCAATTAATCATATGTTTTGAATAGATACAATTATATTACAAATATGTTTAAATAAAACACAACTTTGTTACACATATAATATATATAGTGCAAATATATTACAATAAAATACAATTATATTACAAATATAATACAAATATATTGTAATAAACTAAAATTGTATTATAAACATTTTACAAATATAACAATCATATTACAAATGCATTACCATAAAATATAATAGTAATATACATATAACATAAATAAATTATAAACATTTTACAATAATTTACAATTACATTAAAAATATCATACATATATATTAAAGTACATTACATTTTTCTTAAAAATATGATTCATATATATATATTACAAATATTTTACAATTAAATACATATATATCCTAAATACAATATAAATATTTTATTATTAATTTAAAACATATTACAACTATATTATTAACATTAAACACATATATTTGAAATAGTTTACAATAAAACAAAATTATATTACTTACTATTATAATTGTGTTTTATGCATAATACAAATATATTTCAATAATTTATACTAGAATATACTTATATTATATATATATTGCAAAAATATTCTAAAATATATAAATAAACATTATATATATTAACAATATTTTACAATTAAAAACGTTTATATACATTTATATTTACCTTTCGTAATTTATATTACAACTATAATACAAAAATAATCTATAAAAAATAACTATATGTCAAATATATAATATTACAAAGACATGTTATCTTTTTACACAACCAGCTTACGAACAACCAACTTACGATCTATTGCATCGAAGGCCTTTTCAAGATCCAACGAAACCTGTATGCCTCCCCACAGTCCCGAGTCTCTGGTGTGCTGGTGACACAGAGCTTGAACCGTCCGACAATGATCAGAGACCAGAAGAAGGCAGTCCTTGGTGCCACGGTGCGGGAGATAGGCGAACAGGGGCATGGTACGAAGTTGGTCGAAAGCACAGTACACGATCTGGGAGCAATGGATTCCAATCAAGACTTTGTTGATGGGATGCTGAAGACATATCGGTCGAAGTGCAGCAGGCTTATTAGGTGGTTTATTGGATTTACTGAGCATATGAAGCCATCCAGTGGACCAGTGTTCTGGCGGGGAGCCAGTAGAGTCAACCCATGAATAAGATGCAATTTGATGTAAAATCGGTGCAAGGTCACTAGCAAAATGCCGCCAGACTTCGGCCGGAAAACCATCTGGGGCTAATGCTTTGGGGTTGGGCAATCGACTGAGACCTTGTTCAAGATCTGCCTGAATGAACGGAAGGCGATGCAGGGATTGAGGTGCCAAGTCAAAGGTGTCATCTCGAAACAGGTGGCTGAAGTGAGCAAAGAGTGAATCAAATTCCTAACGCGGGGTCATGGGTGCACCATGAGAATCATGCATCTGGATCCTACGAAATGGTTGTTTCGGACAAAATTTACGAATGTTCCGATACCATTCATGGATCTTATTGGTCATGACATTCACAGCATTATCTTGTAGGAAATTCTTGAGCTTTCTACGTTTGTTGATTCGATTGAAGGTCCTGATCTGTGCATGCAACTTGTGGAAAGAGAGTTTTAATAGACATCAAAAAGACAAGGCGAAGCTGATCATCTGAGTGTTTGACAACATGTGCAGGCGGAAAAAGATTAAAACATAATTGTCGAATCTGTTGTTCCTGCCAAGGCAATTCTAAATAGGGTCTAGCAATGGTGTAGACTGATGGTTGAGGATACAACTGCGAACAGCTTGCTCAAACTGGAGCCGTCTAGGTGTGGCATCCATCATTTCCTGCCGTAATCGAAAGCGGTCAATGGATTGAACCTAAGTAGAAGGTGTTCGAACAGCATGCCACCGGGAAGGTGAAGTGTGAGAGGTCTATATTGCGGACCTTGATGTATGTCTATTCTCTCAAACTTGCTGTCAACCTAAGCTCGAAGATGTTTCCATCGTGTCTAAAAGGTACGAAGGAAAATGAAATCAATCCGTGATTGATGATGGCCATGGATGAAAATTTGGATATATTTCTGATGGCAATGGACCGCAATTAAAGACAAATCTTATATAAGCTGCTAAAACATCTATTTGTCAATTGGAAGAATTTTATTGTAGCGTAGATCCGGACTATATAAAATCATCTGCTAAAATAAGCATGTGGCTGTTTAGAACATGCTGTACCCCATGTGCGAGGTGGTACCACAAATCCTGCCTAGCTTGGAGAAATCCACGGACAAGACGTGTTCCGTCTAATATACTTCATACAATCGTAAATCGAAATAAACATCAATCTAATGGGGAATGACCTGCCAGGAATAATATCGTAATAAATCAAGAACCACCAGAAAAGCCGAAGCAAAATGGTTTTGAATACAATTCCATCTATCAATATCCATTGGCCTAGCATTAACCATCCTATTACCCATATCAATATTCCAACATAATCATTCCTAATATATCAAATCTCTAGAGGCATTCCAAAATAATAATTTAAATATAATAATTTATAGTCCACGATAGACTATAAAATAAAAAATAATTGTATTTGTTACAACAATTTATTCCTTAATTTTATAATAATATCGAATCGATTGCCCATAGAAATTTTTCATAATAATATTTATGTGTTATTATCATAATCCATTTGCAAATTCTATATTTTATTATTATATCAAGAAAATCAATTTAGTTTTGTATAAATAATATTCTATATTTCCACCAATTCGAAAAAATCATAATAATTTCCAAATCAATCTCGAATCCTCGCCAAAAAAATCTAACGGAACCAAATCCCTCCAAAATAAAAATCGTAATTTGCCAAGATTTCAATTATAAATATTAATACAATAAACAATTAAAAATATTATAAAATTATATCAATATCAAATATACACCATTTACTACAACAATATAATTCCCGGCCCATAACAAATAATTATAACTAAAATTAAACTAAAAATAACGTTCTTATATTTAATATATTATATTATATAGATAATATTATATATATCATTAATTCTATAATTTATTCAATTTTTATATATATTAATATCAATATATTTCAATATATTTCTTAAATATATTATTATATAATTATATAAATATATATATAATTATATATATATTTTTTTTAAAGAAAATCTATTATTCCAGAATTTAGGTTTATTTTTGTCCCTGCAGCAATATTCACGGATATCGATTGAATCTGTCTACATATAAATATCAACAAATTCTGCATATATTCTCTAGTGCAAATTGGGTACATTTTCGTACCCGGCTGATGTATCCTTTTCTATAAATTCAAGATGCTAATGTAAGTCTGGTTTCCCAATGGGTACAATGTTTGTTCTCCCAAACCCCAATGAACACCTGCAGGAAAACCTCACCTTGGCAGCTGCTTCCGCTGCCGCCGCCACAGCCGCCGCGGCGGCAGCACGGCGCGCTTGGACGCCTCCTGCGGCCTTCATCGGTGACCCCCACTCCATTCCACTGCCGCTGCCAAACATTCTGTCGACGGTTCCTCAAGCAACATGCGTATTTGGTGGGGGTCAGTCGCCCTGTGTGTTTCTCCAAGCATTAGTTCTACAAGAATTCGATTCTCCATGATTATCCTTCACATGGGGCACTAAGCAGCTCTAGCCCATCTCCAATCTATTGGCCCATCGCCCAGGTGGCCAGCTACTGGGGCAACGGCAAAAGGTATTGATCCCAATACTATAGATCCATTTCAGAGAACCAAAGAACATCCACCGGCCGTATTGTTGAGTCAGCTGGAAAACACCCATTTCAAGCAATTGTCATTTTGGTGGCGCAATGACTAACCAAGTCTGAGACAACAAGTCTTGAACCTAATCAGAGAAAAAACAAACAACCCCCTGGAATGACCCAACATCTCAAAATCACAAGCTTTGGTCCCGAAAATGACAAAACTCTTGATGTGGGAAGAATCTTCGGCGTAGTGCCAAGCTGGAGTGAACAGGTGTCACATGCTTTTTTCCACGTCACCAAATGAGTTCGAAGGGATGACAAGTCGGACATCTTGCACTTGGACTCCCTTTCCCCTGATTTCCCCAATTCCCGAACCACCCCAACCTCGGTCTGGAGCTGCTTCACGACCTGGAGGACCAAGGAGCGAAGCAACGAAGCGGGAGCTAACCCAGCTAACCCTGAGCAGCCTGAAGGGTTTTAAGAACGATTTTTGAGTTGTACATGTAACCCTTACAAGTCCATATCAACCACCTTCTATTTGGTAACGGAAGTGGAGGACTGTGTGAGGAATGGTAAACCTAAGCTCCACATGCAGGCCTTAAAACCTTCGAAAGTTGCTTAATCTCGGTTGTAAATGTTCCGATGTTTTGACTTAGTTCGGTATTTACATGTATCTACTCTTTGGGCTTTTGGGCTTTGACTACAGTAGGTCATAGTCAATGCACCTACCGGGTCCGAGGCGGGTGCACCTACTGCCCTCCGCGACCCTCAATGCTATACCTCTCCTCCTCCTTCCTGCGGAATGGACGGTCAGACCTAGTCATCTTTCATGGTGCGAAGCCTCCTTTACCATGGCCAGGAAGGCCAGCATTCCTGTTGATCTTCATTCTCTTGTACTGACTTTCGTCACACACCTCTCCAGAAAGGTCCCTGGTGGTATGTGAAGGGAAATGCACTGTTTTGCTGGGCATTCCTTGCCCAGGTAGGATAGGAGAGTTTGTTCGGGAACGTGCCTATGGGCCTATAGAGGATATGAGAGGATACATCACTCCCCCACATCTGGAGGTAGCATCGTTTCGCATGTTGAAGCAGCTCGTTGCAAATATTTCTTGAGTGCAAATCTTGGTTTGAAGGGTAGAGGAAACCTACGGCGTAGTTGGTTTGGATCGGAAAAGAAGACACCACCCTTCGTACTCTATCCCCAGGATTCTACTGGTGGCTGGTGCAGAATGGAATGCCACAACCACCCAATGGCTTCAAGCAAAACATAGCAAAACCAACCAATCCCCAGTGAACATGTTCAAACATCTATATAGTTGACCAAACCTAAAAAAATCCAATTAAACTCATAGCGGCAAAAGCCTGGGTCGGACTCCCGCAATTGGAGGGAGCCACCACATGCCCGCACCTTCTGCAATTTCTCCTTCTGTTGAGACGTCATAGCCTCTTTGCCTGGTGAGCTTGAAGCCGCACATCAAACCAGCAACTCTCTATACACACAACTCACACAACTAGAGAAATCGTTTACACAAATAGAAAGGTTGCTAACAAAGCTGGTCTGTGCAACAGATTGCTCACAAAAAAGACATAGGGAAGGTCCGAAGGTGTGACCACAAATGGGCAAAAGGACTTCGAACCACACACACACAATTATCGCACTGTTGACCTCGGGCTGCGAGATGTTGAGCCCCAAGGAGTTGTGAAGGCCAACCAGTCGGACAACACATCTGGGCCCAGGCCATTCGATCTCAAATCCACCCAGGAACACCTGCGATGGCCCTGGCGATGGCCCACTGCCCAAAAATGATTGAACACTCAATCAGGAATCCTCTCACATGTCCGAAACGCTTGGCAATCTCTTTGTAGGTCTGGCGAAGCAAAGGTGACTTTCCATCCCCCTGCCAATTAGGGTGGTGGGCCCCCCCATTCTGTCGTACAACAGACCTGGGGACCTAAACTCACAAATCTGCTTTTCAAATCATTTCAATACGTTTTGAAAGGACCCGGCCAAAATGCTTGGACCCAACATACATGATATCAATTATATCCGATTTTGAGTCACCGAAAAGGCTGCAGAATTTGTTCTAGATTATGGGTATACCCAACATAAGCTAGAAACATCTTCACATATCAAATCTGCACTACATAATGGGTCTTGCTAACAAAATGCGGTGCCTCAACCTCATTTTATGCAACATATTAAAACATATTACATAAAAGACTCAACGTAGTGGCCTCTAGACACCCCATTTCGTATAGGAAATCGGAACGGGGATGACTGTCCGACTTTCCCATAACCAAGAACCACCAGGTTCAAGCGACACACTGGCCCCGGCGAAGCGACGAAGCAACCGACTGATACGGAATGGATGGCTGTAGTTATGTAGGAATTCTGCAGGATCATCGGATGCATAGGGTCTCAAAACTCACAAATGAGTGATTCTGGGTGCTCTGGAAGGCTTGGTAGTTCTCGGTTACCTCAAGATGTGCCCGCTAGGCTGAACTGAGGACACATGTTTCCCTTTGCCACTGGTTTCTATAGCACCATCGCGAACCAAACCCGCGTAAGTTTAGCTCCAAAACTGCCAAAACCACCATGGAAACTGGGCGAGGGATGAAAACAAAAACAAAAATGAATCAAACAATATATGTATTTCAGGGATCAAACAAAAACAAAAACAAACCAAAAAATACACGCAGGGGGAAAAGTAATATTCCAATCGAAGCTGTGATCAAGAAACATCCAAAACGCATTTAAAAAAACAACCAGGAAACCACAGGAAATGAAATGACTTGAAATGGAATGAACATGAAATGAAAAGAACATGAACATGAATATGAACATTAAATGAAATGAAAAGAAATGAATGAACGAACGAACGAACGAATGAATGAACGAATGAATGGTTGAATGACTGAATGAACGAAAGAATGAATGAGTGAATGGAAAGTTTAATTTAATGAATGATTGAATGAATGAATGAATGAACGAACGAATGAACAAGTGAAGGACGGAATGAGTGAATAAAAGACAATACAAACAATACACAAATATAATAGATAAGTGAACAATAAAACCAATATATTGCTAAGTCACAAAAAAAGGAATGGCTAGTCTAGGAAACTTTACCCGAATCTATTCTATGCTGAAAAGTTAAAAGCGGGAGGGGGCGCAGCGCCTCCCAAGCAATGTAACTTGGTACGACCAAAAAACAGATATCATTGAGTTTCCCCGATGATTCTTCCTTTGATAACTGCAATGGTCTCTGCGCTGGGCATCTCGGCAAAGATTTGCAACATCGCATTTCAATTTCACAGTGGAATCCACAATGGTCAGGCTCTGGCTCTCTCAATTGTCGGTAGGTCACTGGGAAGAAAGCGCGCATGCAGTTCCCTTCCTTCCTTGCTTCGTTCCTTCCTTCCTCCCATTCTGCCTTCCTTCCTCTCTTCCTTGCTTCGTTCCTTCCTTCCTTTCTGCCTTTCGTCCTTTCTTTGTTTTTTTGTTGATGCATTGTTGTTTTTCTTTTCGAAAAAGAGCCAAACAATAGATATATTTCAGGTGATCCACAAAAAACAAAAACGAATCAACAAGTAAACAAAAGCAGATCCAAACGTGCAGAGGGAAGAACAATTTTCCATTCGAAGCAGTGATCAAAGATTTAAACATGCGTCTCTAAAAACACACAGGAAATCAAGGGAAATGAAATGACATGACATGAAATGAACATGAAGTGAACATGACAATGAAAATGAAAAGATTACACCACCGTAGACCCCAAACAGGTGGGACAACAACGAAGCATTCCCAAGTCCACTTTTTGAGACATCAACAAAAAGGGAGACGAGAAGGGAGACAAAAGGAAACGGAAGGGAGACAAGATGGACGCAATGGCTAACAAGAAGGAAGACAAGAAGGGAGAAAAAAAGGAAACAGAAGGGAGAGAAGACGGACACAGTGACCAACAAGAAGGGAGACAAGACCGGAGACAAGACGGACACAGTGACAAACAAGAAGGGAGACAAGACCGGAGACAAGGGAGGCAGAAGGGAGACGAGGTGGACACAATGACCAACAAAAAGGGGGACAAGACGGGAGACAAAAGGAAACAGAAGGGAGACAAGGCGGACGCGATGACCCACTGCTGACCACAAGAAGGGAGACAAGACCGTAGACACAGGGAGACAAGAAGGAAGACAAGGTGGACACAATGACCAACAAGAAGGGGGACAACAAGGGAGACAAGAAGGGAGACAAAAGGAAACAGAAGGGAGACAAGACGGACACAGAGACCAACAAGAAGGGAGACAAGACCAGAGACAAAGGGAGACAGAAGGGAGACAAGGCGGACACAATGACCAACAAGAAGGGAGACAAGAATCCGGCAGCAAGGCGGACACTCTTAGAATGCATTGATGACCCCTAACAGTAACCTGTTTGGGGAAGTACAGAAACCACCTGGAAGACAAACGATTAGAAATGCTGGAAAGGGGAAAAGGGCGGATGCGAGCAGTGCAGGCACCGAACCTGGGAAACAAAAGTAAATCACAGGGAGACAAATGAATAGAAATGCTGCATGGCCATCGGAAAGGGCGGACACCAGCAGTGACAGAAAGGGCGGACACATCTTAAGAAAGAATTGAGAAACCCTACGTAACGGTAAACTGTTTGGGGAATTAATAGAAATGTTGCATCGCCAGCAGACAAGGGCGGAGACAGACCTGGGAGACAAATGAATAGAAATGCTACATGGCCAGCGGAAAAGGGCGGACACCAGCAGTGACAGACCTGGGAGACAAATGAATAGAAATGT